GGTCTTTGTTTTTTTTTAAACTCCATCGCCTGGGCAGCAATAGCTTCAGGTAAGTGTGTTCAAAGTTTTAGTTTTCATGGTGTTGTAGTGGGAAAAAAGTATTCAACTATCTGCTCCAGTTGAATAAGCGGAGATTTCACTCAGTCGGCATTTTATTTTTATAGTTGTAAAGAGAGAACAGTTCATCATACGGAACTTATGGCATGGAAATCAGCCCTGTTCTGATCTGGGAGCCTTTGTTCCCCCTTACTTACTATAATGGAAGGTTGTCAGAGTCAAAACAAATTACAGACACTTTGGTTATGAATAAACCTTGAGAAAGAATCTGGTTTGTTATGGGAAGAAGGTATCTCTTGTCTACAAACACCCTCATACAGGGGAATTGTGTGGCCTTGTAGGTGAAACAGGCTGAGTGAGAACTTTTATAGTGAGTAAATATCATAAATTAATATATGAAATAAGAAAAATATCTTCTTTTTGACTCACACCACTCACTGGAACGCAAACGTCATCAGAAACTTACAACATCGCTCTGGGCATGTCCCCCCGAAAACAGAAGGGAAGCACAAAGAACGGAAACACATCAAAGATGCTCTTCAAATCTGTGGATACCCAAAACTTGGTGTTTGTCAAATCAGCAAGGAAATCCAAAACACACGGAGCAGAAAATAACGGTGAGAAGATCAAACGAAAAAACATTGCCATGCCATATGTTGTTGGATTCTCTGAAAAACTCAAGAGGATTTTCTCCAAACACAAAATCCCAGCATATTTCAAACCTAACAAGACCCTTACTCCAGAGTGTCCTAAGGAGAAAAACTGCAGACCAAATATGAGCGAAGTGGTATATGCAGTTCAGTGCAGTGAGGAATGCTCTGATTTTTTCATTGGAGAAACCAAACAACCTCTCCACAGACGCATGGCCCAACACAGAAGAGCGACCTCCTCCGGACAAGACTCTGCTGTCCAACTACACCTTATGGACAAAGGAAATACATTTAAGAATTTTCACATTTTGGATAAAGAAAATAGGTGGTTTGAGAGGTGCGTAAAGGAAGCCATCTATGTTAAGAAAGAAACAGCAACCTTAAATAGAGGGGGTTGACTCAGGTTCCAGCTTTCAAAAACCTACAATGCAG